TGCACACATTTCAGAGTCATGGTCGAGAGTCTGGAGGAGACAGCCAGCGCCGCACAAAGGTGAGTCCAGTCATACAGGAATTCTGAGTCCTCTGGTCTACTCTTCCTGGTCCCCCCATGCTTCCCCCATCGCGGAGTTCACAGAGAGTGTGCAGGCAAGAACATAGGAAGCCTGATTTCACATTGTAACCTTGGTGCCAAAGGGGCCTCCCGATGACCCGAAGCAGTAAATAATGCCACAAAATCTTGTCAAGGGGTGGGGGATAGGGAGGAAAAGACCAGGGATAGAAAGTCCCAAACGCTGTATTTCATTGATTTTAAAACACTTCTCACATTGTCCCATCCCACTGCTGTTGGGACGGTTACAACTCATAGCACGGCTATTATATCAGGTTTCCAAAAGTGTGGGTCTTTATGGGGGCAGATGCTTCTTAGTGGTAAGCAGCCCAGCGCCTAACCCACGGTGCTGCTTTGTTGCATGACTGACATCAAGGTGCCTCGTGTAATGGAGTGGCTCACAATTACCACTTGCCAGTCAACAGTTTTGAAGTATTTGCCATTTCCCATCCAGGCCCAGACTCAGGTATGGCTCTTACTATTGCCATGTTATTATTTTATGTTATTGTTATTGTATTAGGTTATTATATTATGTTATTGTTGCCTCTACCCAGGATAAGTCTACTGTGCTGCTTAAACTGTCTGAACTAAGAATACATTATTATTTTATACAGGACTGAAAAAGTATGGACAAAGGCAGAAAAACTGAGCAATGTGATACACGATAAAAATATATATCTAATACCCCCCAAATAACTCCTCTGATAATTATTAAAAACTGTGAAGTTAGAAGAAAACATTAACTTGAGAATCACTGTGCTCTTTCTTAAAGCTACACAGCATAAATGTGCTTCTTTCAATAGATGAGGTCTTAGGTTTGATGAGAAATGATATTTATTTTTAATTTTCTCCTTTTCCTGGTGACCTTGAGCATCACAGATATCCATCTTTCCTAGGAAGACCCCCATGAAAGACGTCAAAGGAAACACAATGAGTTCTCTAGGAATGAAAACCTAGCTGCTTTATTCCGTATGTGACTGTCCTAGACAGCTCTACTGGGTATTGGCTCAGGGAGAAAACAAGCCAAGGAACCAACTATTAGGCTTGGCATCAATGTGTTAGGGGAAGGAGACTTGCTTTTACTTCTTCATGATGCCATACTGGAGTGCCCAGTGGCGTAAACGTGTAAGTGCTTGATGACTGGAGGAAAGATTGGTGGTTCGAACCTACCCAGAGGTGGTGCATTAAGAACCCTGGCGGCACCATGGGTTAGGTGTTGCACTGATGTCTCAACTATTGCTACAACATCAATTACTACCACATCCGGGGTTCACCCTCGCTAGCTGATCAGTGGGAGAAAGATGAGGTTTTTGCTCCCAGGAAGATTCACAGGTTCAGAAACCCAATACAGGGTTGGAATAGAATGAATGGCTATGGGTTTGATCTTAATTTTAGTTGTTGGCATGTTCAAAGACAGGCCTGGTGATCTGCTTTTGAAAGGTCACAGCCTTGCCAATGATGAAGCTGTTGTCGTCTCGGCACCCGGGGACCCCATGAATCAGCACGGACTCCAGGGCAGCTAAGAACAATAGCAGTTGGTGACATGACAGCCCAGGGATCGGGGCTCTCTTGGGTGGGCTTGTACCTGCAGGGGTCTGGGACTGTCTGTGTTTCTCCATGCTGCAAGACCTGCCGTCTCCAGCTCATGAAAGTAGTAGGTATACTCTGGCCCAGTGTGCAGCTGACCAGCTTCAAGAGGAGGGTGAACAGTTCTGGGTATAGGCCTGAGACAGGGGTGCCTGCTGATACCACTTCGTGCATCGCACAGGCCACCTGAGGGGAGAAAGGATCTCCTGGTCAGATGGGTGCCCGTCTTCCAAGGACGATCTCCACGTTTGTTTTCTCCCCACACGATGGCTCTCCAAGTTGACCATGCTCAAGATAAAAACAAAAATGGAGAGCCCGTGGTTTTTCTGGAGGTTTCTCAGCTTACACTGGGGCTCTTTCACAGAACTGCTGTGTCCGATGACTTCAAACCCCAGGAGGCATAATTTCGATAAAATGTACTGTTTTCCCACAAGTGGGCTTTTTCAAAAGAAATGGGTACTTTGCATATCTTGCAGCCTTATTTAGAAACATATATCTATCCCGCCCCTCCCCCACCCACTTTGGGTTGTGGAGAAATTGATTTCTGAATGGGAATCTGCCACTGACAAAAATCACTGCCCTAATAGTCCGATAGACAGTTAAAATCCTGGGAAATAGGACAGTGTGATTAATATCACTTCACTAAGTCCTCGGTGGGGTTAGGTCAACAAACAAGACAACATTCCAGAAACGGGAGGGGTTGTCCACCTCACCGGAATCGTTTCCACTGTGAATATGTCATCTTCTAACTCGTTGTCCAATTTGTCTAGTAAGGCTGGCAAGAGTTTGCCACTGGAGGCCGAGTTCTCAGCCAGGGTCTTCCACAGTGTCTTTGTGTCCCTAGGGTGACAAGATAGGAAGTGGGTGAAGCTAAGTCTTTGGAGTTTGAGCTGAGTCCTTTGGCCCACCTTGAAGCCACAGTATCATGAATCTAGCATTCAAGGGCAGACGAATATGTTTTAATCCAATACCCTAGCCGTGGGTTACTGAGGCTTTTCAAAGACAGAAACTGCTCATCTAGGTACATGTTGGGCAACCAGAAAAAGGCCAATAGTCAATTTGGAGTACTTATGCCTGTGGTCTACCCTCCTCCCCACCTCCTGTTACAGTGAACCCTGGAGAGCTGGAACTTGAGGGGATTGCCTAGGTTTTCTAGATCTGGAAAGTTTTCTGCCTTTGACAGTGCTCTGTCTTCACACATTTTTAGCACTCCTTGTAGTGGGAACTATCTGAGGTTTTCTTCTCTGACCAATTTCTACCTAAAGTCTTGCTTTCTTTGGTTTTACTGAGTAACATTCATAAAAGTGGTCTGAAAACCACTTGGGAAAACGTGACATACAATCCGAGTACCAATCTTGGAATTATCATTAAAGTGAGATGTTTCTGCCTTGTTTTCATCCAGCAAACAAACCCCTCTCCAATGCCTTGCGGCAGCAGCCTTTCCTGGGAGAAGAATCCAGTTGAATGAGAATCTACCTGTCAAAGGGAAGGGGTTTCTGCAAAATATTGGCAACAACTGCATCCGCGTGGAAGCTGGTTATCTGGGATACGGCTTCTAGCATAAACTGAAAACTTTCCTCCTTCTGTCTGAGCACTGGCATGTGATGATAAATTGTGTTCAAGATATCCAGTAGCTAAAATCCAAACAAAAAAAGCAAGCTGAATTAAACATGAAGTTGCCATTTCCCCTCCACACGAATGGCTAAGGGCACTAACCATCAGTATATTGTGGGTGGGTGGTTGGAGTTAATGAATTATAAATAGATCTAAAGACAATAATCAATTCTACCTGTGGTCTCACTCAAGAGCATTGATGAATTGGATATTACTATTAATTCAATTTAGCAAACATTTAATGAAAGGATGATTTATGCTGTCCTAAGCTACTATAGGGAGTTTACCAAAGAAGCATACATGGCTCTTTCTCAAAAGGAGTAAGTAGAGTAGTCAACCCAATCAGCCATATACTGAGAGGCCTGTGCACAGGTGGATACGGCAAAGGGTGTACAGGCTTATGTATAGAGTGCATACGCCTGATGGAGGAATCCAGAAGCAATCGAGTTCACTGCATAGGAACATCTGGTTCGGGTCTTCAAGGATAGGGAGTGGGGGTAGTGACAACGAGGACGGCCCTCAATGAGATGGATGGACACAGTGGCTGCATCAATGGGCTCAGGAAAAAGAAGAATTGTGAGGATGGCGCAGGGCCATGCCACGTTTTATTCTGTTGTGCAAAGGGTGGCTATGGGTTGGAGCCAACACAATGGCATCTAACAGCAGCAGCAGCAGCAGCAGTGATTTCAAAAGGTAAGATGGGGAAGGACATTCTGCGTAGAAAGAAGGTACAGCAGGATATAAAGCCTAAAGGTGTCAGAGAAAGAAAAGAAAAATACAAGAAAACAGCAAAAACGTTTTCTGGCACAGGAGGAAGGTACAGAAGCACAGGAAGCACAGTGGGGATGAAGGGGAGAGACCTAATGGAAAAGACGGAGGCATTGAAGGCCACTGCTTTGAGTTTGCAGCTTCGTCTACGGGCAGTCTGGAATGATATCATATTTTGGGGGTTTTGACATAGTGAAGAGATAATCTAAATGAACTTTGCTTCTAGTTTCTGGGAGAGATAACTTCTCAAGGCATCTAAATTTTGCTGATATATTTTTTTAAGGTTTAACACTTTTCCCCCTGAATTATAATTCCTTAATAATAAATATTCTCCAAACACAATTAGCATCTCAGTACTGCTTGGAGAGGATCCTTTACCTATTATGTAAATATCTCCCCAATGTGCTATACACACCACCACTCCAAAATTATTACCTTTGGTTTGTTTTCTTGCCTAGTCTTATGCCCTCCACATGAGATATTCCCAAAACAAAACAAAAGTTGATGGGAAAGTAATTAGTTTAGAGGTCATTTTTCATATCCTGACATACAGAGTCATACATTGGAGAACAGATTTTCGATGAAAGGGTGATTTTAGTGATTCTAGGTTAATGGGATCAGAGTTCCTCTTATTCTTCTTGAGCAAAGTTGTACTACTGGTGTATATATAAAATACTATCAGGGTCATCTATAGGACCATGGACTACCAAACGAAGGAACAACTATGTCTTACAGACAAGGATGGTGAGATTTGGTCTCATGTTCTTTGGACATGTTGTCAGGAGAGACAAGTCCTTGCAGAAGTACATCATCCTTGGTAAGCAGAGGGACAGTAAAAATGGGAAAGGTCCACAACAAGATGGATTGACACAGTGGCTGTAACAATGGGCTCAAACATGAGAATAATTACAAGGATTGTGCAGGCTGTCAATGTTTCATTCTGTTGTATGTAGGATCTCTATGAATCAGAACCAACTCTAGGCACCTAACAACAACAACAACAACTTGATTTCATTCCTGTTCTCCCTGCTTTGAACTCCAGAAGAAGGAAAGATTGAGGATCTTCCCCAACAAGGGTTCTCTTGGTTCCACGGACAATAAACTTTAAGGTGTCCAGAAGAGTAGAATCAGAAATCTACTGGCCTTCAGTGACTGTCTTAACAGTACCCTGGAGGTTACTCTCATTCCTTCAGATCTGGACTAGCTCCGAGTGCTAGAAGTCAGATGCCCTCGGTTCAGAGCTGCTTCCTCTGATCACAGAAGGTTTGGAAAGTTTTTCTGATCAACGACTAGAGAGGTAACAAGTATATATTGACTCAAGAGCTCAACAGGAATCTTGTTGATATATAACTTGGGTCTCTTGTGGCATCTCTAGTCTCTCAGTGCTCTTGCCTGTTGTCCATCAAAGGACAAAGTGGGAAGCAGGGTCTGAGTGGCCCTCTTAAAAGTATCAGAATTTTGCTTGACTGTCAAGGTGGTGGTCAGGTCACCTGCTCTTCCAACCCTGCGCCCTGCTCCTTCAGGGCGGTGATCATCCAGATGCCACAGGCCTTTGTGCAAGTGGGATTGAGGGTCTCTAGACCATCCAGTGTTTCTTCCAAGAATATTCGAATTTCCTCACTTGGGATGAATTTGCAGACAATCTGAGGAGGCAATCACAGAGATTCAAGTTAGCAGCCACCTCACAGTCTATCTGGACCCCTGCAATCTGATTGACATTCTCATTTTAGGATGCGAGAAACCACTAGGCTTTCTGGACAGTTAGCATCTGTGTAGGGTCATACAAAAGAGATTTTAAAAATCCTCAAATAGAACATAGATACTACTTTTTAACTCTAAGCAACATTTCCATGAGATTGTATTACGACCATTTGATGTTTATTATATTTCAGCATTGTTAAATGGAAATCCTCTCCAAATCTAAAGTTCTAGCATATTCCAGCAGGGAAAAACGACATGCAATATTCATATAGCAATTTTCATATTATAAAGCATTTATAGAGAAATTTCATCTATCATAAGAAATTGATTGGGGTAGCAATTGTACAATACTGCATGATGTGATTGAACTATGGAATTATATTGTGTCTCCATTCGCTCCCAAGACAATTGTTTTGCAAAAAACAAAATACAACAAGATGTCATCTAAGTGAGGTATCAGCTAAGTCCACAGGGAAGAAGCACAACAGCCTGAGTGATCCAGGGACTGTGAAGAATAAAATCTAAGGCCCCAGTGACAGTAAGAGCTCAAAATTCATTTGCAGCATATCCTCATGTGAATAAAGCCTCTGGTGAATCCCCTCTGACCACTGATCAGGGATGTTAATAGCCTTGCTATCAGACAATGTGCAGGGATAAGTGGATTAATGCAAATGTAGCTAAGTAATGTTTGACCTGGTACCATTTTTTCTTCCTTTTGATTCATTTTACGTTTGTTCTAGGTTTTATTATTTTCTGCTTTCTTTTTGATTGAGGCGTTTCTCTGTTTTATTCTGTTGTGGCTGTTAGGGTTTTGTTTTGTTGGTTGTTTTCATGTATTTCTTTGTGTGAACTCCAGGATAGGTAAGTACATAGAGTTAACGGCTTCTCAGGCTGTAACAGGGAGGTTGGGGAAATGGGGAGCTGATAACAATGAGTCCAAGAGTGAGGAGAGTGTTCTGGAGTTCACCGGAATGATGATTGCACAACTCTTCTTAATGTGTTTAAGCTACTGAATTGTATGATGTGTGAATCGTATGTCAACAAAACTATTAAGAAACAAAGGAAATAAGGCTTAAATTGACCAAAGAATGGCTAAGGTTTGAGAATTTAAAAAATCCTATTAACATGCACTAAGTGGTATGCTAATTTTTTAGTTGATTGTTAGTATCCACACAATGTATGGCTATTATACGTTCTCACTGATTTTTATCTCCCAGGTTCCATTGCTAAGAGCAGTCAATAAGTGGTCAAGAAAACATAAACATTCACAACATTGGTGCCTAGGTCCCGAAACTATAAAGGATGTTTGGTTATGAACAATGTAAGGGATCCATATTTATACCTATTCCAAAGGAAGGGGGCCCAGCAGAATGTGCAAATTATAGAACAGTATCACTAATATGACATGCAACCAAAACTTTGCTGAAGCTCATCCAACATAGGTTGTAGCAGTATACTGCCAGAGAGTGGCTAGAGATTCAGGCCAGATTCAGAAGAGGATGTGGAACAAGGGCTACCATTGCTGAGGCCAGATGGCTCTTGGCTCAAAGCAGAGAATATCAGAAAAAATGTTTACTTGTTGACTATGCAAAGGCACTCAACCAGGTAATTCATAACAAACTCTGGATTGCCTCGAGAAAAATGGGAATTCCAGAAAACTTAATTGTGCTAATGCAGAACCTATACAATGTGTACTATACGATGTATAGTATACATGGACCAAGAGGTAGTTATAGGAACCGAACAAGGGAATATTGCGTGGTTTAAAGTCAGGAAAGGGGTGCTTCAGGCTGTATCCTCTCACCGTACTTGTTCAGTCTACATGCTGAACAAATAAATAATTAGATAAGTTGGACTACATGACAAAGATTGCAGTATCAGGAAGGTTTATTAAGTGAAAGAAGGTTTATTAATCTGTGAGATGTAGATGTCACAGACTTTAAAAAAAATAATTTTATTGGGAGCTTGTACGGCTCTTATCACAATCCATACATCCATCCATTGTCTCAAGTACATTTGTACATATGTTGCCATCATCATTTTCAAAACATTTTCTTTCT